CATCCCCCTGGGAGGGGGTTATAGGTATATCATTGTGATCAGTTCCCCCTATCTTTCCCTCACCTTCCCCTTCTCCTCCTAGCCAGATTTGTAAGGTAGAATTGGGGTCATGATAGTGGAGGGGTGGCTGACGTGGCTTTACAGCAGTGGATCTCAACCTGTGGGTCACAGCCCCTTTCACAGGGGTCACCCGATTCATAACTAGCAAAATGACAGTGATGAAGTAGCAATGACAATAATGTTATGCTTGGGGGCCACCACACCATGAGGAACTGTCTGAAATGGCCGCGGCCTGAGGAGGTGGAGAACCCCTGCTCTAGAGGATTGAACAGCCTCGTTTCCCACTGAGCTATCAAGTGAGTGAACTGCTGACCTTGGGATTAGTAATCCACTACTTACTTGCACGGCCATCCAGAGTGGGGAGACTTCAATGGAGTTCCCAAATGCAGAGCACACTACAAAGAAGGACTAGGCTACCGGAAGGACTAGCCACGAAGAACTTTAGAGTAACAGTGGTACAGATGAGGCTCTCAGGTTGGAAGGCACCGAAACGTGACTGAGGAAGAGCTGCTTCCTTAAGTAGAGTCAATCATAATGACAGGAAGGGAATAAAGCTGTCAGGACTTCATTGGCTCATGGGACACAGCTCAAAATGAGAAGAAATGGTTACAAACATCTATTAATAATCAGAAAGTGGAATGCATAATGTGTGAATCTAGGAACATTGGAAATCATGAAAAACGAAACAGCATGTTAAGATTGATACCTAGGCTTTAGTGAGCCAAAATGTACTAGTATTGGCCATTTTGATAATCACCTGGTTTACTATACTGGGAATGACAAATTCAAGCAGTGTCATATTCATAAAAATGCATTTCATGATATCTTTAAGGACAATGTTCTCTATAATAGAATCATACCTCTGTATACAACTATTACTCAAATTTGTGCACCAACTACTAAAGCTAGTGAAGCAGAAATTGAATTCTAGCAACGTCTTAAAGGAGCCTCTGGTGGCGTAGTGGTTACATATTGCGCTGCTAATTGCAAGGGCTGTTCAAAACCACCAGCCGCTCAGAGGGAGAGAGACGGCTTTCTACTCCCATAAAGTTACCGTATACAGTGGTATTCCACCACGCTAGCTATCCCCTCACTGCGCTTCATGATACTTACGAAGTACTGTTGCCTCCATAGACCACAGGTCCTCAAACTATGGCCCACGGGCCACATGCGGCCCGCTGAGGACATTTATCCAGCCCGCCGGGGTTTTTTTGTCCCATTTGTTTTTTA